GCTTGCCTTTTGCTTGCCCTTGGCTTGCCCTTGGCTTGCCTTTGGCTTGCCCTTGCCTTGCCCCTGCCTTGGCTTGCCCCTGCCTTGGCTTGCCCCTGCCTTGGCTTGCCCCTGCCTTGGCTTGCCCCTGCCTTGGCTTGCCCCTGCCTTGGCTTGCCCCTGCCTTGGCTTGCCCCTGCCTTGGCTTGCCCCTGCCTTGGCTTGCCCCTGCCTTGGCTTGCCCCTGCCTTGGCTTGCCCCTGCCTTGGCTTGCCCCTGCCTTGGCTTGCCCCTGCCTTGGCTTGCCCCTGCCTTGGCTTGCCCCTGCCTTGGCTTGCCCCTGCCTTGGCTTGCCCCTGCCTTGGCTTGCCCCTGCCTTGGCTTGCCCCTGCCTTGGCTTGCCCCTGCCTTGGCTTGCCCCTGCCTTGGCTTGCCCCTGCCTTGGCTTGCCCCTGCCTTGGCTTGCCCCTGCCTTGGCTTGCCCCTGCCTTGGCTTGCCCCTGCCTTGGCTTGCCCCTGCCTTGGCTTGCCCCTGCCTTGGCTTGCCCCTGCCTTGGCTTGCCCCTGCCTTGGCTTGCCCCTGCCTTGGCTTGCCCCTGCCTTGGCTTGCCCCTGCCTTGGCTTGCCCCTGCCTTGGCTTGCCCCTGCCTTGGCTTGCCCCTGCCTTGGCTTGCCCCTGCCTTGGCTTGCCCCTGCCTTGGCTTGCCCCTGCCTTGGCTTGCCCCTGCCTTGGCTTGCCCCTGCCTTGGCTTGCCCCTGCCTTGGCTTGCCCCTGCCTTGGCTTGCCCCTGCCTTGGCTTGCCCCTGCCTTGGCTTGCCCCTGCCTTGGCTTGCCCCTGCCTTGGCTTGCCCCTGCCTTGGCTTGCCCCTGCCTTGGCTTGCCCCTGCCTTGGCTTGCCCCTGCCTTGGCTTGCCCCTGCCTTGGCTTGCCCCTGCCTTGGCTTGCCCCTGCCTTGGCTTGCCCCTGCCTTGGCTTGCCCCTGCCTTGGCTTGCCCCTGCCTTGGCTTGCCCCTGCCTTGGCTTGCCCCTGCCTTGGCTTGCCCCTGCCTTGGCTTGCCCCTGCCTTGGCTTGCCCCTGCCTTGGCTTGCCCCTGCCTTGGCTTGCCCCTGCCTTGGCTTGCCCCTGCCTTGGCTTGCCCCTGCCTTGGCTTGCCCCTGCCTTGGCTTGCCCCTGCCTTGGCTTGCCCCTGCCTTGGCTTGCCCCTGCCTTGGCTTGCCCCTGCCTTGGCTTGCCCCTGCCTTGGCTTGCCCCTGCCTTGGCTTGCCCCTGCCTTGGCTTGCCCCTGCCTTGGCTTGCCCCTGCCTTGGCTTGCCCCTGCCTTGGCTTGCCCCTGCCTTGGCTTGCCCCTGCCTTGGCTTGCCCCTGCCTTGGCTTGCCCCTGCCTTGGCTTGCCCCTGCCTTGGCTTGCCCCTGCCTTGGCTTGCCCCTGCCTTGGCTTGCCCCTGCCTTGGCTTGCCCCTGCCTTGGCTTGCCCCTGCCTTGGCTTGCCCCTGCCTTGGCTTGCCCCTGCCTTGGCTTGCCCCTGCCTTGGCTTGCCCCTGCCTTGGCTTGCCCCTGCCTTGGCTTGCCCCTGCCTTGGCTTGCCCCTGCCTTGGCTTGCCCCTGCCTTGGCTTGCCCCTGCCTTGGCTTGCCCCTGCCTTGGCTTGCCCCTGCCTTGGCTTGCCCCTGCCTTGGCTTGCCCCTGCCTTGGCTTGCCCCTGCCTTGGCTTGCCCCTGCCTTGGCTTGCCCCTGCCTTGGCTTGCCCCTGCCTTGGCTTGCCCCTGCCTTGGCTTGCCCCTGCCTTGGCTTGCCCCTGCCTTGGCTTGCCCCTGCCTTGGCTTGCCCCTGCCTTGGCTTGCCCCTGCCTTGGCTTGCCCCTGCCTTGGCTTGCCCCTGCCTTGGCTTGCCCCTGCCTTGGCTTGCCCCTGCCTTGGCTTGCCCCTGCCTTGGCTTGCCCCTGCCTTGGCTTGCCCCTGCCTTGGCTTGCCCCTGCCTTGGCTTGCCCCTGCCTTGGCTTGCCCCTGCCTTGGCTTGCCCCTGCCTTGGCTTGCCCCTGCCTTGGCTTGCCCCTGCCTTGGCTTGCCCCTGCCTTGGCTTGCCCCTGCCTTGGCTTGCCCCTGCCTTGGCTTGCCCCTGCCTTGGCTTGCCCCTGCCTTGGCTTGCCCCTGCCTTGGCTTGCCCCTGCCTTGGCTTGCCCCTGCCTTGGCTTGCCCCTGCCTTGGCTTGCCCCTGCCTTGGCTTGCCCCTGCCTTGGCTTGCCCCTGCCTTGGCTTGCCCCTGCCTTGGCTTGCCCCTGCCTTGGCTTGCCCCTGCCTTGGCTTGCCCCTGCCTTGGCTTGCCCCTGCCTTGGCTTGCCCCTGCCTTGGCTTGCCCCTGCCTTGGCTTGCCCCTGCCTTGGCTTGCCCCTGCCTTGGCTTGCCCCTGCCTTGGCTTGCCCCTGCCTTGGCTTGCCCCTGCCTTGGCTTGCCCCTGCCTTGGCTTGCCCCTGCCTTGGCTTGCCCCTGCCTTGGCTTGCCCCTGCCTTGGCTTGCCCCTGCCTTGGCTTGCCCCTGCCTTGGCTTGCCCCTGCCTTGGCTTGCCCCTGCCTTGGCTTGCCCCTGCCTTGGCTTGCCCCTGCCTTGGCTTGCCCCTGCCTTGGCTTGCCCCTGCCTTGGCTTGCCCCTGCCTTGGCTTGCCCCTGCCTTGGCTTGCCCCTGCCTTGGCTTGCCCCTGCCTTGGCTTGCCCCTGCCTTGGCTTGCCCCTGCCTTGGCTTGCCCCTGCCTTGGCTTGCCCCTGCCTTGGCTTGCCCCTGCCTTGGCTTGCCCCTGCCTTGGCTTGCCCCTGCCTTGGCTTGCCCCTGCCTTGGCTTGCCCCTGCCTTGGCTTGCCCCTGCCTTGGCTTGCCCCTGCCTTGGCTTGCCCCTGCCTTGGCTTGCCCCTGCCTTGGCTTGCCCCTGCCTTGGCTTGCCCCTGCCTTGGCTTGCCCCTGCCTTGGCTTGCCCCTGCCTTGGCTTGCCCCTGCCTTGGCTTGCCCCTGCCTTGGCTTGCCCCTGCCTTGGCTTGCCCCTGCCTTGGCTTGCCCCTGCCTTGGCTTGCCCCTGCCTTGGCTTGCCCCTGCCTTGGCTTGCCCCTGCCTTGGCTTGCCCCTGCCTTGGCTTGCCCCTGCCTTGGCTTGCCCCTGCCTTGGCTTGCCCCTGCCTTGGCTTGCCCCTGCCTTGGCTTGCCCCTGCCTTGGCTTGCCCCTGCCTTGGCTTGCCCCTGCCTTGGCTTGCCCCTGCCTTGGCTGGCCCCTGCCTTGGCTGGCCCTTGGCTTGGCTTGGTTTGGCTTGGTTTGCCTTTCCTCGGCCTGGGAGGTGGCTGGCTGATTTGCCCAAACTGGCCCAGCTTCGTGCTGCTTTGCGCTTTCGTTGTTTCTTTCTTGTTTTTGGTTTTTCCAGAGTTCTAAAAAGTTAGAAAACTGCAAACGGTTCTGACATGCTTGAAAATCGACCACGTAGGAAAGCACCCGGAGGAGGCTCCTTCTTATATGCGTTTAAACTACAAGGCCAATAATCCCGGGAGGCTCTGAAAGTTGGGACCTGCTCGGGCCAGGTCGCGCCACCTGGTTGAAATCTGTGCCATTTGTGTCCGCCTCTTGCCCTCAAAGCGCGGCCCTGAGCCGTTTCGAGCGGAAAAGAATACCTCCGACGAAGAGGCAAAGAGGACAGAAATGGAAAAGCCTAACAAGATGAGCCTGATACCATTACGGAGCCCAAGACTTCCACGGGGTTGAAATAGCGTTAGCGTGGGAACGCAAAAAATGAAGAAAATGAAAAAAGCAAGCAACGAGGGCGGAGAAGTCTTCTCCAGTCTTGTTCTTGGAACTTTTAGCGGCGACATCTAAACCAATAAAATCCCACCGCTTCCCTGTGCTTCGTTTTTTTGTGTAAAAGTGAGAAAAATGAAAAGAGAAAAACCAAGAAAATCCAAGGAGACGAAGAAACTCGGCCACAGTGGTGGAGGAAGCTCCAAAGCACAGCAAAAAAGCACAGCAAAAAAGCACAGCAAAAAAGCACAGCAAAAAAGCACAGCAAAAAAGCACAGCAAAAAAGCACAGCAAAAAAGCACAGCAAAAAAGCACAGCAAAAAAGCACAGCAAAAAAGCACAGCAAAAAAGCACAGCAAAAAAGCACAGCAAAAAAGCACAGCAAAAAAGCACAGCAAAAAAGCACAGCAAAAAAGCACAGCAAAAAAGCACAGCAAAAAAGCACAGCAAAAAAGCACAGCAAAAAAGCACAGCAAAAAAGCACAGCAAAAAAGCACAGCAAAAAAGCACAGCAAAAAAGCACAGCAAAAAAGCACAGCAAAAAAGCACAGCAAAAAAGCACAGCAAAAAAGCACAGCAAAAAAGCACAGCAAAAAAGCACAGCAAAAAAGCACAGCAAAAAAGCACAGCAAAAAAGCACAGCAAAAAAGCACAGCAAAAAAGCACAGCAAAAAAGCACAGCAAAAAAGCACAGCAAAAAAGCACAGCAAAAAAGCACAGCAAAAAAGCACAGCAAAAAAGCACAGCAAAAAAGCACAGCAAAAAAGCACAGCAAAAAAGCACAGCAAAAAAGCACAGCAAAAAAGCACAGCAAAAAAGCACAGCAAAAAAGCACAGCAAAAAAGCACAGCAAAAAAGCACAGCAAAAAAGCACAGCAAAAAAGCACAGCAAAAAAGCACAGCAAAAAAGCACAGCAAAAAAGCACAGCAAAAAAGCACAGCAAAAAAGCACAGCAAAAAAGCACAGCAAAAAAGCACAGCAAAAAAGCACAGCAAAAAAGCACAGCAAAAAAGCACAGCAAAAAAGCACAGCAAAAAAGCAGCAGGCTCGCACTGAAATACAGGAGGAGCCAAAGCCCGAAATCCCTGGCGTGTAAATCTTGAGCGGGAAGGAAATCAGTGGCGAAATAGACGGCGCACATTTTGACAGTACTGGTAAGCGAATCGGACGGGTTTGAATCAATCGAAACACCACGAAGACACGAGCGAAACAGCACGCAAATACAAGCGAAAGGCCACGCAATTTTTGGGATTCGGTGGACGCGGAGACTTTGAAACAACAAGGACCAGCACCAGGGGCATGATCATCGCCCGAAGGTTTTTGGTCTTCTAGACTTCCACGATAGTACTCACATCACCGAAAGACTTTGGAAAGCGATAGGCTGCAGGTTTTAAGATCTTCAGACGACTAGGAACATCATGCAGCAACAACGGCCAGCCTGGGGGTTTTGAACTGCATCAAGATCAAGGAAACGAGAAAGGACTGGCATCAGAGGATTGTATTACGCTATTCCAAGTAGTCGCGACCACAGGCCACCTCGTCGCAGCGAAGCGCTGAGACACTCCGCCATCTTGTCTACCCGCCCTCGTCCCACCGAAGTGACGAGCTGCGTGACACGCTGCTGGTGCTGGACGCCGGACGATTCCACTTGAGTCTGGTGTTTGTTCGTTATCTCCGCCTCCTGCATGAACGAGCCCACGACAGGCTCAACACTAAGCGAATCCGTAGGATGTACATGTGAGTCCGTAGTTGTGTATACATGTGAACCGGTAAGAAGTCCATATGCACCCGTACTATTATGCACATGTGAACCCGTAGGATGTACAGATAGTGACTCGTAGTAGTCTGCCTCGTCGTCCATGTCAAGCTCATGAAGATCGTCGCCATCGTCCTGTGCGATATCCACATATTAGACTTTCCAATCCAAAAACTCATTTTATAAGAAAATATCCTGACACCTCTCTCCCCTTCGCCATCTTGAAATTACATTTTTAAGCCAAAGAAAAAGCTGAGTGGAAGAGAACTTGACATAAAGCATCCTGCGACTTCTCTTGTCCCCTTTCAGTAGTCATATTAGCAGTTTTGTACTACCTAGCCGGAGTCTAGAGATCATATAGCTATAACGTGCTCTCAGGTAAAATGATGATGATGATGTTAGTCGAGTCAGGTAAGGTGATATCATTATCAGGATAGTCAGGTAAAATGCTATCAAGATAGTCAGGTAAAATGATATCAAGATAGTCAGGTAAAATGATATCAGGATAGTCAGGTAAAATGATATCAGGATAGTCAGGTAAAATGATATCAGGATGCTTGTTGTTGTTTCGAGGATGTATCTGTGGAAGTGGAAGCCTTAAGCATAGCCCGGAAGTTCCAGGAATCGGTCTCCAAACATCTTGGGCTCGTACATGAGAAAAGGATTTAGTCCATGCGGGGTCACCTCGACGCGCCACGCCACGACGCTGCTGCTGGAATTGTAGTTATGCTTGTAGTTGTCATAGTTGTAGTTGTGCTTGGTAACGAAATAGTTGACGGCACCGCTGTGACTGTGGTCTCCAGCTGAAGCCTCTTTATGCAATCCGGAACCTTCCATGGTCGCCTCAGCGCCAAGGTCAACCTGGATGATGATGATCATGATGATGATGATCAAACTAAGAAGCACTTACATCGTGCTCCAACGTTCTCTGCTATTCTAATGCAAAAATGTCACTCCTTCAACTTTATGTCTTCTCCTTGTTAGAAGTCATCTTGTGGCTGTGTGTTCGTTGAACAAGAAGTATGGACTAAAAGTTGTCCGATGCTGTCCTTGATTTTGGAAAGATCTTCCTGCACATCAAGCAACAGCAGCAGGAAGCAGGAAAAGTAAGTAGGGACATGCGCGCTCGCACTCACACTCACGCTCATCATGGGAAAATGAAGGATATTAACAAGAAGTATAACTATCCAACGAAAGTAGAGTACCAGTTGAAGTTCTTGCTGATCATAATGTATCACGATGGAGGAAAAACAACATCGGAATTCAAGAAACTATCTCTCTTCAAAGAAAAAAAACTAAAACTATACGATAGAGGAAAAAGTGAAATAGAAGAAATTGCGACTGCCGTGTTCATTCTTTTTTACCTTTCCCTTCGTGTCCTTTCCGGCGAGCGTCGAGCCCTTCACGACATCAGCATCGCCAACAGCCTCTCGGCCTTCCTGAGTATCGGCATCCACATCAGCAGGAGGCTGAGAATTATACGAGTCAGGTCTTTCATCATCCGTCGTATGATCGTGGAGGTCACGACCGTTCTGACTGCGGTCCTCAGAAACCGGCTTCCCGAATCCGCCATCTTGTGTGGTCGCATCAAGTTCAAGATCAGCGTCAAGTTCCTGGATGAAGATTGGTAAAAAAAGTGAGTACTATTTGCGTTGCGGTGCCGCACATCGTTGTGATTTAGTGTAGTGCTCTTCTTGTCATCTTGAGATAGAAAAGTCCTCACTGTCGAAATGTTTGTTCATGCGAACCACGTAGGTAAAACTGATAAGCCTATTAAGTGGTCGCGAAAATAAAAGGAAAAGTGAAATACTGACTACCTTCTTGCTCACGTCCTCTTCAGCGAACGTCGAGCTTCTCACGAAATCAGCATCGCCACCAGCGAGTACACGTTCTTGAGTATCGTCCGGATCAGATTCAGGAGTAGGATACTCGGACTTGTACGGATTTTCATCGACATTCGTTTTGTCAGGATGGACAACCTTGTAGATCTCATTCTCTTTGCTGTTTTGTTTTAGAGCTCAAAGCACTTCATTTCTCAGGTTCATCTTCTCAATATTCCAAGAACAAAGCAAAAAAAAATGGCCCGTGGAAGGATGAAACGAATTATAATATCTTATAAATATTGAGCCATAATGTTAATTGTTCAGCGCTTCCTTCCGACGACGAGCTCGGGGCCAGTTCTAGGAAGGCGTCTTCGGACCTCTTGCGTCTTGATTTTTTGATCTCGTACGACGTTTTGTTTCTGATCTCGTACATGATCAATGGATTGCCCTCCGGGTTCACTTCCACGGGACGCGCCACGATGCCGCACGGCGCCAGGGCCAGCGGGTAGAGAAAAAGCAAGCAAGTGCGCATCTTTTTGTTGTTCGTTGTTGTTGGGTAGAGTACCTACGTAGTACTGACAGGAGAATGTATGTTGGTGTGAAACTCAGTATAAACCAAGTAACGAACTAAATGACAAAGCACATCACAAGTGAACAAAACGACCTATGAATGGATTCTATCGGCACGGAGTAAAACGTCCTGCCACAGGACACACAGCGAGCATCAACAGAAGCGTCCTCCACCGTCTTGTTATCTTACAGCAGCTGTATAATAACATGAACAGAGCTCCACGACATCAAATGAGTTTTTAGAGATCTCAATTTCAGAGAACAGCACCCACAGATTCAAGGCAGCAGCAGCAGCAGCAAAAGCTGCAGAGAAGCGCGAAGGACTGCACAAGAAAACAGACAACTTGTGCGCTTCGCTTTCTACATGCCGTCTCAGATGAAGCTTTTCAGTAAATGTTTGTTCGACTTTCCAAAATGAAAGAAAGTCCTTCCAAAATCATCAGCATTTTCATCTCCACGCATATGGAAAACAAAAGTAGCTCTACTATTGTTGTATTTGGGGTTTTTGTGTTGACAAAAAAAGTAACATAAGCATATCATGAGCACAACAAGTAGATCACAACTTTGTTTATTTGTGAGTGAGAATTGATCCTCTAAACAGAGCGCAATTTCGGGTGAGATTCGTCCTGCTGGGTCTAAGGAGAGGCAATTATTCTTAAAGCTAGAAGAATTCCATCTTGAGCGGCATCTTCCGTCCCTTTTCATCTTGTTCCCTTTGAATGTATATACGGGAAGCACAAGGAAGATGCTTGTGAAAATGGGAGATTGCAATGCATCTTGATGCTTCTCTCCCCCAATCATGGGACAGCTTCCAGATGCTTCCGAAAATGGGAGACTTCTTCTAGCCTTAATATAAATATTGATTAAATCCGCAAAAGCCAGGATCATCTTCTCAGTGGCTGGCTGCATCCTAGACAGCACATCCTTCGACAGTGCGGCATTCCTGAGGTTTTTTCCGGCGATGTCCCTAGGTTGGAGGATTCGCGTGGAGATGATAGTCGGTGGCGGCTTTTCTGGTTCTGGTTGGCCGGGTTGTACTGGTGGAAGTGGGGCATCGTCGTGCAGGAGGAAATCGCCAGTCACTTTGTCGAAGTGCTCGGAAACAGATTAGAGATGGTGGATTAATATAAGTGAGAACGAGAAAGTCTTTATTAGATTTAGTTTTAGATTATTTCTATTAATCATAAAAATAAATGTTAATGTCTTAGTGAATCTTCAGAATCATGATGTAATTCTTCAAGGTTCAAGGTTCAAGTAGGTTGAAGGTTCTTTATTATTCCCAACGAACAAGTTCATTATACTTGATGTAGCAGTAGCTCATTATCTTTCAAACAACGAACATCACAAACGAACATCAGATCATATGTGTATTTCCCTTGTTTCGTCGCGATGTTGAATGGCATCCCACCTCGTACTTCCATCACTCTGGAGCATCGTGTTATCATTTGACCCTTGGAGCAGGATCTTGCCACAGGCTACTTCGAATAGGGTACAGCCAAACGACCACATGTCAATTCCCGTGTCGTAATGGTGACCTAGGATCACCTCTGGCGCTCGGTAATATCTGGGCTGCACGTTTTTGTCGCGGGTAATTTCACGAGTGTACATCGAAGTGCCAAAATCACAGATCTTAGCTGTCTGCTTGTCGTCGGAGCCTCAGGTCTGCGTGAATGATGCCAAGGCGCTTCAAACACCGAAGGCCGTAAAGAATCTGGATGCCCCAGCTGAAGGATTTCGAATGTAGTTTGGGATAAGATGATTGATTAAAGCTTTAATACGCTACGGCGGACAGGAATTTTTGTAATATGTCATTTGGGCTAGAAAGGAGGCATGAACTTTGATGACATCGAAGACTGTAATAAGACTCAGAACTCCAAGAACAGGCAAAATGAAAATGAAAAATAAGTACAATGCCACAGTCGCTGGCGGAAATCCTCTATGGCATTTGTAGTATTCCATCGCTGTCCTAAGGTTGAATCTCATCAATTCAAAAACCATAGCCCTCTGACCGTGATGAATGGAATGGTCGTCGTTGTAGAGAAGGAGAACCATGACAAGTTAGAGGTTGAAACCATTCATTTCTTGCCTCCATTTCTCCCAATCCTAAGAAGGGAATAGGGGGAATGACTTGTAAAAATGAAATGTTTCAACCCTTAAATACAGGTGGATCCAAAGGTGTCCCGCTTCTTCGCCTTCTTGTACATGTACTGGTACACTGCGACTTCCTTCACGGCGACCGTGTCCATCATAGCCAGTCTTCGGATGATTTTAACTGCGGCTTCGACAGGGATTAGAAAGAGGTTTGGTGATGTTGAGATGATTGAACAAGAATAGGGCTACACTACAATACACACTTGTAGTACGTTATTTTGTAATACACAATACACACTTGTAGTACTTCTTACAAGTTAAAGTTTATGGAGCAAAGAAAGGGCTGCAAAAAGCAATTTATATGTTATAATGTTTGCCATAAATCTTCCTTTTCTGTTTCGTCGAAGACCTTGCATTTGAACACCGAAGAGCACACGCCGAAACCCAGCTTGCTTACGCACGTATACACTGAGCCAGTACTACTTACCTTCTAGCCTCTCTTCAGGAACGCAGATGTAGTATTCCTTCGCATCTCGTTCTCCATTCTTTCCGGCAGACTTCATCTGCATGAATTCTAGTTGGAGTCGATTCTTCTCATCCTTTACCTTGTCTCCAGCGGCTAAGATGTCGGAGATGAGCTTAGATCTAGCTGCTCCTGGAGGTCCTGCTGCACCTCCTCGTCCGAAGGTTCTACTCTTATCTTTATCAGCAGTAGCACCGCCACTAGTTGTAGTATATTTGTTGTTTCCAGCTGCACCTGTTCCATCTGTGGGGCTTTCATTGGGCGACGGAAAGTGATTTGCTCCTGGATAACCGCCTAGTAAACCACTAGCCCCTCCGATTCCGGCTCTTGCTGCGCTAGAACCCTGACGACCTGGCGTATTGGCGTTCCGTAGTTGGTCACTAAAACCTCCCTGAAACCCGGATTGGAACAGAGATGTTTTCTTACTGGTGCCACTGTCAGCATCATTTCTCCTGTCCTTGTCATCTTTAGCACCACTGTCTTTCTTCGCGTCTTTCCGGTCACGGCTGTCACGACCTCTATCACGGTCACAGCCTCGGTCTCGGTCGCGACCTCGGTCTCGATCCCGACCACCAGCACCCCTGTCGCGGTCGCGATCTCTACCACCGTCTCTCCCTCTGCGATCACGGTCTCTACCTTGGTCTCTGCCATGCCTGCCCTTAGCGTTCTTTTCCCTTGATCGTGATCTATCTCTAGTTGTATGACCTCTAGTGTCCTTGTCGTCCTTTTGACCAGCTTCTTGCCCATCACTGTCGGGTATATTAGCGCGTTCTTGTTGATAAATCTAGAACAAGATCATCGGCTCGTCCTTCCGGAAAGGGAATACTTCTCCGCCTCCGGTGACTGACCGCAGCAAAGAGAGAAACGGCGTAAATCTTTATTTTACAGTAAAATCACGCCACGCACCTGTCTTCTGTAGTTAGTTTATCATTTGTCTTGGTTCATTTTCTGTGCTACCAAAAGTGAACTTTCATCATGTTAGGGGCCACTATGTCTCATTCATACGCAGAATGCGTCGATTCAGACTCATAGTCATTGGTGTAGCACTGTCACAGGCTCTCTCAGTCTCCATCCACCTCGCCCATCCCCGGCTAGAAGATCATGACAGAGATTGGCTGACAGATAATGGTAAATGTCATGTCATGTTGCTATCTTTGATCTCGACCGAGGATGAGGCCGCTCACTAACCTGGTGCCTTCAGAAATTATTCTCATAAGAATATGAAGGGTGGCGAATTGTTTAGATTGTAGGCGCTTTCATTAGTTAGTCACTGATTTATTTCTTGAGTAGAAGCATAGGAATATCTCAATCTCAGTCTCACCTGCTCAGTCAAAAGTGGTCCTCCTCGTCTCATCAAGACTTTGAGGCTCTTCCTCAGGTAGTAGACTCTCAACTACGGGGTAACCCTCGCAAGTACAGTAGAAATCTTGATTTAATACTACAGAATAGACCACTACAAAGTGACATTTTTATACCAGTTGTACCACAGAAGAGAGGCGACCCTGAATGATGAACAGCAGAACGGTGCTGACGCCTTTCTTGTTTGGACACAGAATCTCGCTTCTTGTTTGCATTAAATAAATCTTTAAATGATACTTCCTCTTCCAACTCTTCACGAGCTGCATGATCTTCAAGTCCACCCACATCAATACAACAGTACAGTTAATCTCGCGCGAAGTTCTGTGCAGACTGCTCCTGCTGTGCAAGTTATAATAATCAGGATGAACCTAGGACTTTCTAAGGCCAGTATTTCTATGGAGTGAAAATGTAGTGAGGACTTCCATCAAGTCTCTGAGGCGGCGGGCGTCAAACTTCGTGGCTTAGTACCTTCTAAGTGTGATGCATTACAATATTTCTGCACAAGGAATTAGTACAAGTTCCTCCTCGATGTACTCGTCAAAAACGTTGTCCAACACGTCTACAGCATGATATCAAGTTCAAGAAGAATCCTCGTATCTTTTTAGTTGTAACGAAGACCAAGAGGATTCATTGAAAGTGCACAGAATCGTAGAAGAGGAGAAGGACTTGTCAAGAAGAATAAAGTCACTCAGGTTATAGGTTAGGTTGGGGCCTACCATCCGATGTGGTAGACTTTAGCGGCTCCTGCTGAGCCTAATCTAGATGCTAATATAGATGAAATCTAATCTATCTATCTAGAAATGCTAATCTAGATGCTAATCTAAAGAAAAAAGTGCTAATCTAGATGAAAAACGCTCCTACACTATACTAGCTATAGTCCTCCCTTTCTCCAAGAATTGGAGAATCGAAGTCATGGCTACTATTACTGATGAGATTGTAATTTGCGCGAATAAAAATTGCGAAGACTAGTATGTCCGACGGACCGATGTTGGGAACTGACTGGTTGGAACTACTGAAAATTGCAAATTATTTGATGATTCGAATAGTAGTCATGTCAGAGCACTGAGTAAGAGGATTAAGAATCATGACCGACGAGTAACTGAAACTGACGGGTAACTGATGCGTCACGCATCTAAAAATAAAAACCTAAAAAAAGACTTACATACGATTACTTCTACATTTGTCGCATGTGTGCTACACATGAACTTGAACTTAGCAAGCGGGTGATTTAAAAAAAGATAAAATCAAAAACAGGAGTAGCTACACACTTACGACGAAAGAACTTGTTGCGCAACGATTCGAACTGCGCTACAAAGACTCAGTGCTTACTAATTACGTACAACTTTAGAACGAGGTTTCATCTGAGGGGAACAAACCTGTGTCATTTTATTGCTTATCCGTAATGAATTACTCAGCATCTGATGAAAAGTTACTTCGCCTAGATGAAAAAATGGATCGACACCGCGTTAGCGTTTAGCCTTTGATTATACGAAATTCGAATTAGTAGAACTAGAAGGATGCTTGAAAGTTTTATCACTATTAACTATGACCACCTCTCCAGCAGGAGGACGAGCCCACGATCCACCACCTACTTACTCTTCTCCAGGCATCTGCGCAGACTGGGCAAGCCACGCATCAAAATACTGCCGAGCTTCTAACTCTAGAGTGTCAAGGCGGCGTTTCTGCTCTAGGTAGAAACGACGATGCGTTCGACTGCCTTTCAGGTACAACAGCGCGTTTCGGACAACGACACACAAGGCCGCTGCGCCGTAACTGCTGCTGCTTAATTTAGAAGGAGAGGAGGAGGAGGTGGATAGAGCAGGAGGAGGAGGTGGACAGAGCAGGAGGAGGAGGAGGAGGTGGATAGAGCAGGAGGAGGAGGTGGATAGAGCAGGAGGAGGTGGATAGAGCAGGAGGAGGAGGTGGATGGAGCAGGAGGAGGAGGAGGTGGAGGATAGAGCAGGAGGAGGAGGAGCAGGAGGATAGAGCAGGGATAGTATCGCTAGCTTTTGTGATGCAGAAGGACTACGCTCGAGTGTTTCCTAAAAAAGTTTGATTGTGAGAAAGTCGGAAGGGAAACACTGAAGGCGGAGGAATGGGAATGATCGGAGATAGTAAGAGCAGAGACAACCGATGAGCATACCCACAACGGGCAGCGGGTGTGAGGGTCAGGAAAGGGTGGAGGAAAAAGAAGAGGAGGAAGAGGTGAGAATCAGTGGTGGATAGAGAAGTGCGGATAGCTTGGAAGAGGGGAAGAAAGAGGATGTGGAGGGTGAGGAAAGGTTGAAAGAGGATGTCACATCATGAGTGTGGAAAAGTCGTCCTCACGACTGAGTAGGACTTGTATTGCTTCCTGAGAACGACCGTACGATAATCTCTATCGCGTATACTTTATCAAGATTAGCCCCTGTTAAGCTACTTTATCTATTAGATTCATTCTTAATATTGTTTTTCTCTTTCGGACCATCTTGGTGGTGCGTGCTGCTCTCCCTTCGCCCTATAGGATGTCCGCGCGCAACAAGGGTAACCGAGTAGTGACTCTTCTGCAAATTCCGAATTATGGATGCCCACGCCCTGATGTTCATGATAGATTTAGATTGTTGAAAATGAAATTGAAACCACATCTTCATCTTAAAATACAAAATGTATTTAAGATGAAGATGTGGTTTAATCTTCTAGTACTGAGACTTAGTCTCATCCATTCCCACTTGTCTCCTGCTTGGTGGAGGTGGGGCGACTTTTCACAGGAGGTGCAAATCGATGACGAAAAAAATCTGAAGATAGCAATCGTCGATGATCAAGAATTACTGCATGCATCGAATTCGCTGTAGTTCTTGTGGACCTCTCACCCGCCGTGCGGTAAGGAGTGGCAGTGAGACTGAGAACAAGTGGCGCGGCTTGGTTGTAATTTACTACTAACTTACTTACAACATGTACTTGTAACAAAGTGTAGTACCCTCCCAATGGAAAGCATCTCGTCCAGACTTCTTCCGGAAGGTTTTTCCGCAGAAAATGGAAGAATTCTTGTAAATGTTGTTCCTCGGATTCGTCCGGGTCCAGGGTCTCTATCGATGGCAGCAGCCTTTGGATCCCATTTTTTAGACAACATAGTCTTACATGTACTATCTGGGGAACTACAAGAAAGAAGATGCTTACATTTACAATTAACATGAACAATTGTTGAGTGAGCCTTAAATTTGTCGTCTCCTTGCCGCCAGCAAGTATTCTCGCCAGAGGAAGGATCTCGCGCATTAGAGGCAACAAGATGTTTGGTCAAAATAATAATTTTCGATTCTCCTTCTAGACCCGAATTCTTCAAGGACGACAAAAAAATAAGAGCATTATGATCGTCGATGTAGTCATTAATGTAGTATGTAGAGGCGCATCAGCTAAATTTCTCTGAAATATTAACCTGTTGCTGAAGAGTCTAGAGGTAATAAACTGTTACTTTAATGAACTAGCACAAGCATTAAACAATTGAAGAGCTAGGATCGGTATCTTAGTTACAGCTTTAACTTTTAATGAAGAGAGAAGAATAACAATCTCAATGTACTAAATACTTACTTCTTCAACTTCTACGCTAGTAGTCACGACAGCACTCACACCTGTCTTAAAGAAAGTGGGACCACCTTCGTCGAGGACGTGACCTCTTCCAGCAGCTTTTTCTGTGAATGCTGACGGTTTCTGTCTATGAACGAAATCGGAGTCACTTTTACCTGAGTAGTCCCTGTAGGCCACAGCTCTCGCACAAATACAGTCGCAAAAATCCGCCTTTCCTCATCCGGTGTGCGTGTGGTAGGGGAGGTGGCACTACTTCTAGTTAGAGCTGGGGGATACTTCTTGGTGGAGATTTTACTGCTCCGACGAGTATAAGCAACTTATACTGGATCATGTATATCTATACTTTCCAAGCAACCTGTAATACTAGTAGGTCGTAGACTTCTAAATAGTGAATCTTGAAATAGAAGATCATTTTCGACTTCATCTTCATCAGGTTGCAAGATTTATACACAGATATACTCTGGCTCTCACTCTCTGTCTCAGACTCTGTCTCCTGAAAAACACAATTATAAATTGGTCATTGGTATTGGACAATCGGGAAGATAATACTTCAACATATTGATTCATCATCCGAATGCCATAGCTTTTCTTTCGCAAAAGCTTCCAATAGTCGGCTTTTTACGACTTGTAGAAGTGAAACTCCTCCAACTTCAGTGACACGAAGCCATTAGATGTGTTCTTCATCTCGAATTGTCTGGAGTGTAGCTGTAGTTCTTCATTTCGAATGGAACAATAGGAGTAATAGTAGAGGTACAACATATTTCTTCATTTCGAATGGAACAATAGGAGTTGTAATATTAGGAGAAGTACTGCTCGTGCTCGTAGTACGTATTGCAACAACTACCCTCGTCTTTCTTAACACAACAACGTGGTCACCAATGCCGCCAGCACGATTTCTGCTGAGGGTGATTTCACAAAGCTATGTTTGAACTCTGCAAGTTGGTGCGAGCGGACTCGTTTGGCGTAATCCCTAATTTCGTTCCGCCACTCTCGCAATGTTTCCCCTCCTTGCTCCTCTAGGGCATGCCAGGCAGAAGCGGTCTGGAAAAAAGTTGTTGACTGCATAGGTCGAGGTTGCTAGCAACAGTAACAGAGAACACGACAGTTTCTGTATCTAGAGAGATTTGCAAGTAGAATATTTGAGTAGACGTAGAAGAGTGAAACACTAGCAACTTCATGCGAGATCAGGATCACAGTTACACGTTACGAACTATTCCAAGAACTGCAATAGATACCACCAATCTCTGCTGGCAAATTCGCTTCAGGAGGGTTTCAAATTTCCTATCCGACTTCCCCTCGAAGCCTCCTCCATGATCTAGCAGTTGCAGCGCAAGCCCATACCTCCCGTTCCAAGCAGCAAAAACAGAAGCTGGAAGTGGCATACATGAAAACAAGGAACGAAGGAGGCAGGGATGAACCATTTATACCATCAATGAGTAGGTGGAAGAAAGAAGGAAGATTCAAATTATGGGGCCATCTTCTAGTACTAAAACTGGTGAAAAAGGAATAGGAAGGAAGATTTCAAGGGATTTTTTTCTCGTGGTCTTCTATCCATTCTAGTGGTGATCCAAGCACTTGTCTTGATGTTCTAGTAAAAATAACATGCCAGACACAGTACAACAAGTGAAGAGTACTGTTTTGCTTTGGCACTTCTTGTAGAAGCAGCACAAGCTAGTACCAAGTGCAAGTAGCTCTGGCTGTAATGATCCACATTAAATACTTAAGTCACGACCACGACGAGGACCTGAACATACAAGCGCAGACTTTTTTTCCGGATGCTCGGCGTTGACCACTGCCAAGATGTTATTTGGTCCATATTGCTCTGCGAAATCTTGCTCGTCTAATTGCCTGTCGAAGCACTGATCATGCACCCCTATTAACCGCACGCATACGTACTTACTGGCGAGTCCTCGTTCTGACGTCGTGGTTGGCATATGGCTGTGTTTAGAAATTCAAATCGTTGTAGACAAAGGCTTCTACTTCCACGATATAGAATCTATCATGTAAGTTGTGTTGCAAAAGTTCTGGTGAAGAGGATGATCTATGAGGTCAACGAACAACACACAGAAGCAAGTACAAGTAGTTGTAAAAACATATTCAGATGAACACTTCTTACTAAGAAGAAACAAGAAGTTCTTAGCTACACCGCCAGAGCTAGAAGTTGTCATGAATGATACAATCTGCTCACATAACGTCGGTAGCAGCTTGTTTCACTACTATGTGGCATTCGCGAAAGGCAGGCGTCTCAGGGCATACCACACGAAAAACGCCATGGCTTAGAGCTACTTAGGGAGCTTGCTGAAGGAAATTGATTTCCGTAGAGGTTTTCTATTGTATATAGAAGTTGACACAGTTGTCCGTCGTGGTCCCTGATCTTTCGTGCTTGAAGAGGAAGTTGCGCATCAGGCTGTGGCAAACACACTCACACTCATCTCTCGTAGTAAGGGTCAACAGCATGGCCAAAGGAAGCAGAGGAAATGCGCCTAAACAGTTAAATTTAGCAATAGCATATTCCCGGAGAGTCATTCATATCCACCTTCCTTCACTATGGTCTGAAGGACATGCAAAAAGGGACAAGGTGGATGATGCTGAGGATGCTTGTTGCTGGGTAGCCTTAAAGGGCTTTTCGGTTGGTAGTACAAGATCCACTCATACCCCGCATCGTTCTGCCACACTAAAGATTGATCCTCTCTCTCCTTCACATGCACTGTATGCCAGTCACTGCGCCCATTGCTATTGTCTCCATTGTCGTGGACGTACGTACCTGGCACGTGCCTTAATATCCAGTCCCAAGATAACAGGAGTTCCGAGCCACCATCTGATGCTCGAGGGAGGCTGCGAGCTACTGTTAAAGCTCAGCATTCAATGGTCACTGATGCTGAACGGAAGAGACTCCCTTCAAAGCTCTCCCCTTTCCCTTCCTTTTCCCCTGTTCTCTAAAGGGGTCGCTTCTTCGATCTCAGTGACCAACCCCAATGACCATTGAAAGCTGAGCCTTAATACTGGGAGTAGGTCACACGGAAGATAGCCTCTCACTGCGATATGAGTAAGGCCATCTTCACGGAGAAACGAAAGGACACGCTTAGCAGCGTTTATGCTGCCAGTAGCATGCAGCGAATTAGAACTAGTACAAGTACAATAGGAAAACCTAGCTGTAGAACGACGAGAAACTGGAATCTGCCTCAAACCAAGAAAGCATCCTACACTAGTGCTTCCCTGTACTCCAACAGGTGGAGGATGCATGCGTTATGCAGTGGAAAGAGGATGAAGATCGATTACGATATAGATTTTTTGAGAGAAAGTAGAGAAACGCCAGCCTTAATCTTCTTCGTACCTCCTCCTCCTCCAGTTTTGGCATGGTCACTACTTATTTTCAAATTCTGTAATAGTTGGCAAGCATGCAGCTCAGTCCATCGCGAAGTACCAGAACCCATAGAGGTGCTAGAGGAGGAACTTGAAGACGACGAAGACGAAGTTCCTATGATGACGCCTCCTGGACTGTTGCCCTGCACCTGAAGTTGGGGCTTGGAACTTTGATTCACCTGGTGTGCTACAACTCCTGCTACAAGAGGAAGATTGTTCAATGGCTTCTGGTTCTGTTCCACGACTGTACAACTAGTTGTAGTTTGTGCTGCACCTCCTATTGGAGGCGCGGTTGTTCCTGCGTTCCCAGTTGCAGGCTCTTGCTGACCACGACCGGATGAGTCAGGAGGACCTTGAGGATGTTCTTGGTGTCCTTCTAGTATTGAAGTTGCTTTACCATCTTGGTTGACCACACGACTGGAGGGCACGTTCTCATCGTCACTCAAATCCTCTGCCCATGTGAGGTCAGCTCTGTTCACCGGTGGTGGCTGTGGCGACGCTGCGATGCCGTCAGACACAAGATTCACTTCCTCGGGAACGACTGTTGCGCTTCCGCAAATGTATGAAGAACGGAAAACTACTGCTATCGAGAATGGGTACAACTTTCTACCCACTAAGAAAGGAAAACTACTCCTGCAACTACTGCGTCCAACGTGTTTCCACCAACTTGAGATTAAGAATAAAGAACGCAAACTCTTGCTTAATCACGGTGCTGGCTTTTAGTTTTCAAGATAATCAAATGACACATTCATAAAGGTGTAGTGCGCGTTACGCCATTTGTGCCTGTTGTCCAGGCTCCTGGTAGCGTGGCTGCACTCGAGATACGCCCTGCAACCTTTCCACACAATTAGCGCTGAGACTTGTGCTGCATATAATTTCAGAATTATTGGAGTCCATAATTTCAGAATCCAAGACGGGAGCCGACGCAGACAGTCTCTCTGTCAACATCATCAACTTCAACAAGACGTAGATGAATTATAATATCACGAGCCTTAACACAAATCTAGAGTAATACGTTCCGTCAAATCGAATTTCCTCTGGGGTGCGGGTAATGCTGAAGACGTTACTATCTGGCAGAACTCGACTAAGCCGTGGTGTACCGCAAACTCGAGGACCTTCGTGCTCACGTCCGCACCTTTTTCGAGAAGAAGCAAAGCTATATTTTTCACGCGCTCTTGATCGTCACTTGTCAAAGCCGGCGTTTGATCAACGGCACGTAAAACATGCAGAACTAGTTCGCTTGTGTCAACGAAAGACGATGCACCTGGACCTGCAGAACTTCCTACTGCGACTTGATTACCAGCTTGGCCTTGGCTGCCTATGCGCTTCCTTTTCAAACTTAGCGATGGACTTCCAGCACTAGGGGGAGGCTTTGATGGTGAACTCGCACGACCCATCTCTCCGTCTTCTCCGTGCTCTACTGGTGTATCTGTAGCAATTGTATGCTCCTGCTCGTCACCTTCGTTTTGATGTCCATCTACTTCTTCGTGTGCTGTCGCATCACCACCAAGCATATCTGTTCTCCTCTCAGGCGATGCATAGTACACCAAAGCATTGGAGCCCACGACCTCGCCAGGATTAGGCATCAGAGCGTCCACACCACCCCTCCGTATTTTTGTCGTGTAACGACCATTGTCAAAATAGTAGTCGTTCTCGAAAACGTCTAATGGAACTTTAGCTAGAGACGGAATATACCGCAACACCAACGAAACCGCCTCGTACCGCGTCGCCATGTTCGTGTAGGCATTACTCAAACAGATCTTATGGAATATCCGAAAAATGACGCAATTCATGTACGGTCTTACATCAGGAAGGTCACTGGTGGAATTCTCTTTGTTTTTAGAAGAGGATGCGATGAGACTGAGAGAAGTTGCAGTTGTACCAGTTTGCAACTTTGTACTTGATGGATCCGAACGAAGATTTGTTTCTGTAGGAGGCTCGTTCACCTCTCTTTCTGCTTCAATATTGCTGTTGTTGAATAGATTCCTCGGCCGCGCACGCATTCCGGACATACCTGCTTCGCCCCTATTCGGTGATGGCGTTCGACTCCTAGCAGCCGCCAAAACAGCAACATTGCCGTTGTTATCTTCTCGCTCCTGTCTTAGACTCTAACCACTGACCAGTCTCCTTGAGGATAAACTACCTGAACAGAAACAGAGGAACTGATGCATTACCAAATCATGAGTCCTTCTGTGGATGAGCGGTAAACCAATAACTTTTTTGCTCTACTTGAGGTAACTTAGTAGACCTTAGCTGTCTCAGGAAAGTTAAGCTATGTCCTTGTGAGTAAACCAATAATTTCCAGAACAAGAATTGAGGATCGCTCCATCCACGCCTTAATTCCCCTGCAGCTGCACCATGAGCAACATTCGCCAAGTCTGTTCCACTGCTGCGTTTGTAGTTTCGTTCGTAGTACAATTGCTCCAGGAGATACGGCAAGTGCTTGACGAGAAAAGTGTCTACCTTCGTCAGCGCCGTATCGATTGCTTCTTGATAGATGTCTGCTTCAATTAGAAGAGGAGCGCATCGTCCGCGTGATGAAGAACTAAAAATTGTAATGGGGATGTGACTTGTAGTAGAATTAAGGCGTAAAGAGAGCCAAATATAATTGTAATGGGGATGTGCGTGTATGAATTGAGTCAGACGATTTGGAATAGTAGATTTAGTCGTGCTCATGATTGATGAAAAGTAGAGGATGGTATGCAAATTAGAATCCACCTAAACTTCTACCACAGGAGAAGTTTGATGTTTTTAGTCGGGCAAGCAAAAGCATCTAAATAAAGTTACTAGCTGGGTAGTACCAGAACAAATCTTAATTTAAAATCCAGCAAGAGTACACAGCAACCAACGGCGTCAACTCTCCGCCGTTTCATGTGGCAATAGAGAGGCGTTTCCAATGCCCAGTCCTTACTCTGACGCGACTCAGAACACGAAGAGGACTCTTCTGCGTCCGACGGGTCACGCGTCGATCGCTCAGCATGATTCGGATCTGCTTTGAGGCCCAGTAAAACTGTCAACGGCGTTTCGCTGCTGCCAGTAGCTTCTTGAATGGCGACAAGCAAAGGCGTATTTCCTTCTAGATTTGCTGTGTTTAGCATTTTTGCCAACATCGACTGTGGCCGATGAGGCAAGAACGTTCGGTCTTTCAGGTCTTGCGCGTCTTGGGCTATTTTTTTCTCCAAAATGGCTACCGCCATACTCTCACCCCCTGATGAAGATGCTGATTGATCGTCTTCGTCTGGAAAAAGGGGTCTGGCTATTCTCTTCGTTAATATAGAGGTAGAACCGTTCTTGTCCTCGAGGCTCTCGGTTTCTTTTTCATCTTCTTTCTGATCGCTTGCGTCAATCTCTTCCACCTCCAGCACCTTTTGATCCCTCAATTGCGTGATCTGTTCTTCTTCCCACGGCAGCTCGTCTTCGCCGTGCCGCGCAAAAAGGTGAAAAACGTTGTCCCGACGAAGAGTTTCCGCAGTGAAAATCGCATTGTAGCGCAACAGCACTTTCGCTATTTCGTAATTGCCTTCGCAAACGGCTGCGAGAAAAGGAGGCATGTAGAGGGGGTTCGTCAAGTCGTCGGAGAGAAGGGAAGAGGAGGATGAACTATCATGTGATCCACCAGAGGAGGAAGAGGGTGAAGTCCCATCATGCAGCGACGATGGTCTACTTCTGCTTGCGGACCCGGAGGATCCACCTGAGCGTGAGGAAGCACCGTCGCCACCTCTTCTATTAGAAGATCGTTTTTCAGACGAAACCGAAAGAATGCAAAAATATTATCAGTCGTGAGGGAAGAACCTCCAGTGAAAAATCTGTGAGGAAGAAGAACTCACGAATCTCCCGTAGGGAAGTAAGAGGACCAATTATAAGTACTTTGAGCCTTAATTCTGCGGCCGGGCGAAGGGGAGGCCGGTCCCCAACTCGTCGCGCCTCTCGAATCTTCAGTGGCTGATCTGTTTCTCCCTTTTTTTCGCACCATACGAATCACATTGCCTTCGTCGTCGAGCGTAACTCGAGAGGCCTGGGAAAGACCATCGTCGTCATCACTTTGATCACGTTCACCATTGACACCACTGTCGTGGTCGACTACTTGTTGACCAGGGTGGTCTTTACTATCGGCACCATCTGAGTTCGACCTTGAAGAAACCGACACAGACGCTGAGGAGTGTTCTCCCCCGGATGAGACTGGGGCGATTCCTCCACTTTCGTCCTCACCTCCTGCACTGGCGCTTGTTTTCTCTTCATTTTCCAGTTCCTCAATCAGATCCTCCACCTCCTCCTCGTCGAGGTATTAGAAGATGGGCATGAGTATCAACTACATGACAATTAACATTGTAGCGACGCGACTACTTGCGTATCATGCGTATGCGCATGCGACTATCATTTTTTGTAGGTGCTAGGATCTAGAAACTACTCTAGTAGATCATGTTTTTCTTCTAGTACGAACATGTTGAAACTACACCTACTTAATAGAGATGTTGCAAAAATACCTAGTAAAGGAAAAAAAATAGATTTACCGTCATCATAAAATAAGTAGTCCTCTTCTTCTTCATCGTCCCAGTCCTCTTGCACCGCGTCTAGCCACTTCCTTCTCCTTTTATGCTCTTCATGCACGTCATAGTTGACGTCGGCTTTTGCCTGCAGAAGCATCTCCACACAAGCTACAGGCACATTCGTTGCCGTCACTGCCGTGTTCAGTGGCCGATGCAGATTCGCGCTAGCACGAAACTGGAACAAGAGCATCCGTACTAGAAATTCCCGCTTTTGGGTGCTCTCGCTCATGTTCTTGTGCGGAACGTAGGCTTGGAGGGCTGCCATCAAAGGAGTCTGGAGTTCGTCGTCTACTGCATCAGGATTTGCCTTTTGCTCCAGAAGCAAGTAGGCGACTTTGTCGAGCCCTCTCCGACAAGCAATGAAGAGCGGCGTTTCTCCCTGATGATTGTATGGATCCACGCAGAAGCGCCACCTCAGATTCCGAATGTGCTCACTGTTTCGCAGCACAGCCAATGGCGGCAATCTATCTAAAGAGTTCGGGTCTACGCCAGTAGTCACGCCAGAAGGAGAGGTAGAGTGCTTACCGGATGTGGATAGAGCAACCGTAGACCTGTTTCCTCCAACTACTGTGCTGTCTTGTTAGAGGAGCTAAAAAAACAATTCATTTTTGCTGCCCTTCATCATTCCTTCAGACGAATCCCGAGAGGGAAACAGAAGGCAATGCAAATGACCGTTGGAACAAGAAATCAATGAAGAATTATGTCAAGCCTTAACCTTGGACGCCACCGCTTGTTGGGTCTTCTCCTGCTACTTGTTGCACTGAGATTGACATCGAGTTGCTTCGGTATTCCTCATGCTCATTTCCATATCCACGATCGTTTTCAATGGCATAGCTTTGACTTCCATCATCTCCATCGTCGCTTTCGTGCTCCGCAGCACGACTGCTTGTTGCAGAAGATTTTCGGTTTTTCTTTCTTACTTAGAGGACCTTCGTTCCCCTCTCTTGAAAAAAAATTCTCAAAGTGAACAAATCTACATCTGCTTACCCTTGCCATGTCATACATGGCTACCATAGTCATACATGGCTACTACAGTCATACATGGCTACCATAGTCATACATGGCTACCATAGTCATACATGGCTACCATAGTCATACATGGCTACCCCTTTTCACCCTTTGATTATGGCTACCCCTCTCCACCCTTTTCAAAGTGGACACTTATCCAATAATTCACTTACCCAACTACAATATTGGAAGTCTTAAGTCACAGGTGATGCGACGCCCTCTTGAGCCAAAGCAGCCTGCCATCTTTCGAATTCTCCGCTTAGGCGTTTCGCAACCTTACCCAGTATATGTTGATCTTGTTCTAAATATTTCTTAGGTGCATCGTCCTCTTCCGCGCTCGCGTCTTGTGTCGCGCTTGCTCCTGCGGAATGACTTGCACCACCTCCGGGTGTCAGCAAATTCAAGTTACTCTTCGATACGCGGCCGATGGGGGCGGCTCCTCCCGAAGTTGGTATAGTAGTTGTAGCTCCTCCTTCTACCCCTGCAGCATCTGTATTTCCATCTCCACCCGTTTTCGGGGAGGAAGAAGAAGAAGATGCGTTTATTTTCGTTGCCGATTCTCCTGGTTGTACTACAGGGGTAGTAATGACAACAACATTGCTCGGTTTTCTGCTATCGTCTTTCTTTCCGCCGTCGTTCTTGTCGCGACCAGTGAGTGACTTGCGCAAATCCACGACAGGAATAGTCTCCTGACTCACAACTTGTTGGGCTTGTTCTTGGTCAGTTACTTGTAGTCCTGCTTTGACATTATTGCGTTTTGAATTTGAGGGAGGTGACCCTCTCCGGCCAGCAGTGCTTGCAGCCGCAGATGAAGACGAAGCGCTGTCATCTGCCTCAGGGACATGTTGGCCGGACTTTCTTCGTGCCGAGTGGGAACGAGTTCTAGCTGCACTTCCAGCGTGGTCCTTGTTATCTTTATCTTTCGCATCCTTTTTAGGTTGTTGCGCTTGAGAAGATTTATTTGTTTTGCTACCCCCTCCACCACCTGCACTTGCATTGCCCTGCTGCTCACCTGCGGACGACGAAGCTCCAGCTGAAGACGACGCACAAGAGGATGACTCACCTTCATCTTCAGCTCCACTGCTGTTTTGTTCCTGGCTGCTTAGAGTTAGAGGTCAGCACAATTTATATCTTAAGTTTTAGCCCATCTAGGTTAGGTTAGGTTAGGTTAGGTCAGGTTACAATACAATACCATTAATCTCGCACAAAGTTCAGTGCAGACTGCCATTAGGTAAGCTCATCTTTTCATTTCGTATAATATTACCGAGAAAACAGACAGAGAAAGATAGTTAGATGTTCTCCTGTGGACGAGATACTTTTCACTTACTGGTCGTGTGAGCCCTAACTGGCGAGCTACATCGCATTTTTCTTGCTGAGTCCTCTGCTCTCTTTCTTGTTCGTCTTCTGCTTGTTTTTTCTGCATTTCGGCAACTTGGACAACAATTTTGATGTTATCGAAGCACTCGTCAACGATATGTCGAAACTTACGAAGCATCTTCTCGGTGTTTGTGCAGATGGCGCTTTCGAAATTTACATTAGAAGCGGACGAGTCCACACGTGCAGCATACTAACACAGAGTACTAGTAATTGTTCACTTACAATCGAGTAGAAGTAGATCGTAGTCGCAGCACAATGAGTCAAGAGCAAATTAGAACCTGAGAAAATCAGGACCTTCTGTGAAGATGAATCAGGAGTATGAGACCTACTGTGAAGATGAAATAGATGAAGTACTTTGGCAGTAGTGGTTAAAGCTCTGTCTGTGTACAGTTGTAGTCTTAGTCCTACGAGCCTTAATTTCAAGTTTTTCCTGAAATTTTGGTCCTTCGTCTTCCTCTTCTTGGTACTCAAAAACAGCGTCGACGATAGCGAACATTGGATGATGGGTTTGTCGAGCTTGCGGAAATTCGCTAAAGAAATCTTGGATGGCGGTCGCTTCCTCAACTACCTGTGCTTTAGACTGTTTGCGAGCATCTGAAGATGCAGCGGCTTCATCGGTGGCCTTCGTTTTGTCTTTCACAGCAGGTGGAGCGTCGATGTTTCTGCCTCCAACAGCACCATCTACAACTGCTTCTCCCGTACTAGTTGTTGTAGTTGTACCCCCAACTCCGACAGCCGCGCTCATACCTCCCACCAAGCTCGCCAAGTCTCGCCTCAACGCGGTCACAAAAAGGGAAATTGTTTGCTCGCGTCGCGTGCTCAAAGTCGTCACGGCTTTCTCAAAATCTTCGGTCCACATAGGGTGACGAGAAACGAAAATCTCGAAAATTTCGCTCACCGTAGCTC